TGACTTTGCCCTTATGCATTAAAACACTTAGAAGAAAAAGAATTTAGAAAAAGTTTTGTTCGCCTTATTTACATGCAAAAAAATGTAATGAATTGATGAGTAAAAGCTGATAAAGAAGTTAAAAGTCTACAGCCACTAACATCTAGTTTAGAGAAAGAGAGGAATGAATTGCTTGAAAAAATTAAGGAATTAGAAGCAAGAGTAGAAGAAAAAGATAACATAATAGAGAATTTAGAAGAAAGAGTAGACATGGAAGTTGAAATGAACTTGAAAGCACTAGACAAATCCAAAGAATATCATGATAGAAATCTTTTCTTATTAGGAATGTCAAAGGACACTATTATAACTAATTTTAAATTAAAAATTCAAGAGTTAGAGAAGAACCAAAAAGTAGACAGAGTAAAACAATTATGAAAATTAGAAAACAAAGCCAAAACAAAAGTTAAGGAAAGAGTTAAAAAACTTAAAGAAAAAGTTAATACAATCAAAGAAAGTGTTAAAGAAAAGGTCAACACTTATATTTTACAAAACAATAAATAACTATGAAATTAGAATACAGAATTTTAAAAATAGCAAAGGATAGCATAGAGAGTTGCAATTATTGCCCATTATATGTTCATTATAGAGAAGACATTACTTTCACTCCTGCTACCCATGAAATAATGGCATATGATAACAATGGAGATTGTGCTGATATTGCTTCCATCTGTGATAATTGTAAAAAAGATTTTGAAAACAATAACCTTTCTTGTGGCAGATTACAAAGAAATAGGAGAGGTTGTTATTGTAATCTATTGAAAGATGGAAAATTTAGAACACTTTCTGCAGAGGAGGGAACTTCCCAAACTATCAAATCTTGTTTAGCAAAGGAAACCAAAGAACTTGAAAGGAAATTGAAAACTGCCAAGGAGGAGTTGAACGTTGAAAAAGAAGAAGTATATAGTCAAGTTTCAGGAAAAATCTGAGGGGTGAAACAAAAAACAAAAGCAGGAATTATTGAATAAGAGTTTAGAAGAAAAAATTAAGCAACTAGAAAAGGAAAACAGGAAATTAAAAGATCAACAGAATGGTCAATTAACTGCTCAAATTGAAGTCAAAGAGACTAAAAGATGATCTTGATTGAAAATAAAAAAGTAATTTAAAAAGAATTGAGGAAATGCTTTCCTCTTATAAACTGAAATTTATTCCAACTATCAAAGAAAATGGTAGTTATTTTCTTTTTAAAGATTTTTGCTTTTTATTAGGTAATAATGCATCATCATGATGCTTTCTTTTTCCAATGTTTATTATTTTTCTTTCTTCATGGTAAATTTCATAGGTAATCTTTTCTTTTCTTAGATAAGCTTCAAGTGTTTGAGTATCATTTATTTTGAAAATGTAAGGTGCAATTTTTTCACCTTGTTCTTTCTTCAAAATACTTTTAATAGTGCTGTAACTTTTGGGTTCCATAGTAGACCTGATATAAATAAGTTTCATATTAACTATTTTTATATAGAGGTAATTCTACATATACTTAATATCAAGAAGATAAAAAATGGGTGATTTTAATAATCACATTACTAAATTTTGATCCCTAAAATTCTTGGTAATACCAATGTTCACTTTGTCGCAGCATGCCCCATATATATAGGACTTGTAGTTTGAAGTTAAAATAAAATTAAATTTTAACATCAAATTTTAACAATCAAATCAAATTTTAATTGCCAAAATGAATGCAAATAATGGTCCATGCAAGGTTGGAGGTTGTGATAAAAATGATCCTGATAAATATAAATTTAAGAAATTTACTGAATATGCTAAAAGAAAGGCTTTCAAATTTGTTATGTAATTGCACGAAGATTAAAAAACTAAACCGCCATTCTTTTCGCCGGGGACTGTAAATTGCTTTTTTGACTCAAATCTTCTTGCAGAAGGTTCAATTAAGTGACCAAAATGTTCATTATGAAATGTAGATTATTTTTTATGGGACCAGTTACAGTTTGATTCTACTTCTTTTTTATTAGTACTGACTTTCACAACTACAAATAAGAGTTTGTTTTCGTATGTCATTTCTCAAATTTTTGCTTAAATCCTTGTTGTTGCGCTCATTGTTTAATATACTTGATACTAACTTTCCTAGTTGGGAAATGCATACTATCATCCAGTTTTGTAATAGCTTCGAGATCATTCGGTAACATTGCTATCTTCAGAAATGTTCTCTAAAATGTGATGGTTGATATAAATTCGCTTTCACTTCTTTCAGAATCACTTGAAAGGACAATTTATTCATGATTAATACAAAGTTTTTAAGGACTAAAATTTATTAAGAAAGGGGTTTTTTTTGTGACATTAAAAATCTTGAACAAAATCTAATTTCCCATATTATTAAACCTTGTGCCTATGACAATAATTTACTTCAATAGGCAGTAAATCTAGCCCATAATGTGAATGTGGCTTTATTTCATCTATTGGAACAGGATTTTACATTTAAAGTGGGACGTTTTGTCGTTTTAAATTTCTATAAAACCGATTCAAGATTCTAGCTATTAATTAATTTTCTTTATGACTATTCACATTTGACTATTTAAAATGCATGCCGTTTATCACGAATTGCGAATTTTTTTAAAAAAAAATAATAATAAAATTTTTTACTTTTGATCAAAATTCATTTATTCACAAAAATTTCAATTGCTTCCGAAGTCAAGATTCTTTCAATCATCATTAGACAATTCTCTGCAAATGGAAAACAAGGGGATTTTTTTAAACTTTAGACTGTTTATAGAATATCAAACAATTTTTTCTTCCTTATTTAACATAAAAAATGGGGTTATCCTTGATATTATCAAATGCAATGCTATTGTCCTTATTCACTCTAACCATTACGTTGTCATAATTATTTCATTTTTTATTAGATCATATCATCAAATCATTCCTACAAACTCATTTATTATATGTACAATGTATGTGAGTACACACTATTATTATGAAATGAATAATGAATAAAATGAATAAAATGAAATAATTATGAAAGGAGACACTTCCTTCCTGAATACACCAATCTCTAATACTAACAGAGATGAGTTATGGAGATTTGATTGTTTTTTTAAAAAAATTTTTTTTTTGATAATAAAGTTGGTAAATTATTGATGTGGAATGATTGTTTTTTTTGTAATAAATGAATGCATTATTATTATTAAAATTTGTTGTTATAATGTTTCAATCTTGATTTCATCCTTCCCTAAAAATTCAGTTTATAAAAATTTGTTGACAAGCTTTTACAATTGCCTTTTGTCATTTGGCATTTGCATTCAACAAAATTCCAATTTACAATTAGCTAGGATATTTCAGATTGCTAGAGACTTTCTTTTTTTTTTTTTAAAAAAAAAACAGAAGTTTGACGAGTTTTGAATTTTCCAAATATTTATATCGGGTAAAAAGTTTTCTATTCACACCTTTATTAATAATCGTTAATAAATAATGACAAGTTCATATTTTTAGCTTCTTAGTGGCTTAAATCTAGTTGTAGCTTAATCTTGGAAAATTCTAGTCGCGGCTATGACTAGAAATTGGAGGCAATTTATTTTTGTAAGAATCATCATCAGACGAGGATTGTCAATTTAGCAATCATTGTTTGTTTGGTTTAATGGTGTAATATTTTAATATAATTTAAAAATAAAGTACAAAAAAATTATTTTTATGTTTTTTAATCTATAAAGAGAAGCCTTGCATCTCATTTTTTCATTGTGCAAACAGGGTTCGGTTTTTTCACCGATTATAAAATCCTTATATTAGAGATTATTATTGAGTAAAAAGACTCAAAAAAAAAAAAAAAAAAAACAGCTTGTAGCTCGATTTTTCTAGTAACAGATCCCAAATAATAAATTGCAAAAATTATTCTTTTTTACAAGCTATAGCCTGTAAATATATATATAATCATCTTTTCTTTCCAGATATTCTAGATGATTAAAAAAAATTTTTAGTATTAGTAAGCATGGAATAAAAAAATACTAAGAAGAAGAGAGGAACGAGTATTTACCTAAAATTTTTTATATAAGGTTTATACTTAATATTTTCTACAGCACATTGTTCAATCATTTCATTATACTCTTCTAAACTAACTCCAATAAATGATGAGATATAAGGTCCAGCAGTTTCTAGTGACCCAACCATAGTTGTTCTTACCTACACAATTAAATGATGTAATATAATAATGATCATTTTATTGCCATCATAAAAGATTTATTATTTATTAGCATCACCACCATAAAATAACATATTTACCACTTCACCAGTCATACCATCACCACCTAATGGAAAATTCCTTGCTTGATTACTAATTTCAACTATTTTATCAGAATTCATTAATTTTTGTTCAATAGATTCACGGATTGATCCATCTATATCACACGATTTGTATAATTTCATGACTATAATTTAATTGATAATTTGTTAGAACTTATTAAGAAATAGTATTAAACAGTTTATTAAATGGTTATTTACATCCAACCATATATCTTTTCCCCACTGGACCCAAATCATATGGCATGGCTTCATTTTCCTAATAATAATAATGAATAACAAAGTTAATAATATAAACATATTTCTTTATCACATCATTATTATGTTTATTAATAATTACCACAAATTCAATCCAACCACCAGGTTTAGTTATACGTATCAGTTCATCAATTACAAAAGACCATTGATCAATTTTTAATGACTGTGTCATATGTTTTTGATGAACAAAATCAAAAGTGTCATCTGGAAATGGTAAACCATCAAGTATGTTATGTCTAATTACTGCTAAATTTTCTGGTAATTCTTTTTTAGAATCATTCAAATCAATCACTATATCAATTCCAATAAATGATGACTTTGGAAATTCTTCTGCCATAAACATTAACCAAGTTGCAGGTCCACATCTAAGAAAACAATTATAATCAATTCATAATTATGGATTGTCATAGGAGAAGTTTGATGATTTAATTAAAATCAATCAACTTACCCAATGTCTATTACAGATGCACCACCATTCTTTAATCTTTCTTTCACAGGAGAAGAAAATTTACCACTCCATATATGTTGTGATAAAACTTCTACAGTTTCCATTATAGACATTGACTATAAAATAATAGAAAGTTTTAGAAAGTTGTAGGAAATTAATAATTAATAATTAATTAACTTATAATTTACCTTATCATCAACAGGCAAGAATTCACAAGATTCTTCGATATTATTAAATTTTCTACCATCAATAATTTTAAAATTCTCAAGTGTGAAATCATCAAAATCGTCATCATTTTCTTCTTTGTTATTGTAAAATAATATTTTTTCTTCCTTCTTATTACAATAATTTTCTAATGGATGCGAATTTTTACGATTTATTGATGGTCTACCAACAAGATGATGATGCAATGACATTTTAAAATTTTTTAATTATATAAATAAAATAAAAATTATTTTTTTTAAGATCCACGATAAAATTTTTATCGAAAAATTATGCCGAATTATTACTTTATAAATAATTCAATTAACATCATCCTAAACAAAATTACACAAGAGCAAAAGAGATCATTTAATATTTTAATATCAATCAACTCATTCAAGTATTTAGACAATTTACATAAGGGTAACACCGATCTCCAAATGAGGAAATAAAAAAATAATTTTTCTTCAGAAAGAACTAATTTTTTTATTGGTAAGCTAAATAAAATATATTTAATATATATAATTAGTTTATAATTAATGTATAAATTTATAATGCTTATTCTATTTTTTCCTGTATCATCTTCAACAACGATCGACAACATCATAGTATTTTTTTTTCATTCATCGTCTATCGAGATAGCTTTATCATCATAATAATGAATATTATATTCATATGCAAGAACGCTATCAACTAGATTTTCATCCATTAAAAGAAAAGACAAGTCTAATTCATTGTCAAGACCAAGTTTTTTTGTCCGTCGAATTTCTTCGCTAAGATTAAGGTTGAAGAAACCATATATTCCAACACTATTTTGTTAAACCGACGTCGGGAATTTAAATCTAACAATCAATGAACAAGTTCTACTTATTACGCTCGGTGCGTAAAATCAATCGGTGAACGTGCACGTTCTAACCAAATATGTAAATTGCACACAGATTTTTGTCAATTCAATGGCTTCTTTTTAACAAGATTATCATCATATTTATTTATTTGTTATGTAATCAGTTCCCGTAATTGCATAATATCATTCAAATTTGTTTTGACTGATTACGAATAATTTTATAATATGCCGATCATTACTTATTACCAAGAACTTTAAATGTTAAAATGAATTCATTAGTTTGCATGAAAATGAAAACTTTTACAGTGATTGCAAAAAGAAACTTACAAAAAACTACTTATAATATCTATATCAGGAAAAAAATTAAAACATACAGCATCAATAAATTATATATTTACCTGTATGCAATTCTTTTTGTCTAATGAAAGAACATTAGAATTACTTGTTAAATTGATATAATGATAATGTTTGCTCATTTAACACACTCGCTATTGGTTAATAACACGCCACTGTGACGAAGCATAATAATATTCATACCTTCTTTTTAAATGAAATATTGTATGAGTCATTATAATGTTCCTTTTTTTTGGCGGTTGAGTTATTGTAACAAAATAAATAGAAAAAAACAAATGTAATTTATTCGAATTTTTGAAAACATACGTTTCTCATCTAATTTCCGAATTACTTTGGTATTACACCTAAGCCCTTTATTGATATGCATTCCAAATGATTTTTGGGCAGGAAACATTTTAAAGATAGATGATCGGGTAATGATTTTTATTTGTTGCTAGATCTTAATTATTATAGCAATTCAAGGAAAGCTTGCAGAGGTAAGGAATGATTTAGGTTATGTTTGGCTATGAATAAATAATCAAGCACCTTGATTGAGTAACAGTAATCATAATTACACACAGACCATCTTGGTGAGTATATACATTTATAGAATACGATCAATAATTGGACTACTCAGATGACAATTTATTCTTGTAGAAAAATCCATCATCAGGTGATGATTAGTAATTAAAACAAAAAAAAAAAAATAATAAATTGTAAATTTATTTTTCTGTAAGTTATAATCTAAGTAAATATGTATATATCATCCTTTTTTCCCACACATTCTAGATGATTAAATATATTTTTTAGTATTGGTAAACATGGAATAAAAAAATAGCAAAAAGAGGGGATGATTATTTACCTAAAATTTTTTATATAAGGTTTATACTTGAGGTTTTCTACAGCACATTGTTCAATTATATCATTATATTCTTCTAAACTAACTCCAACAAATGTTGAGATATATGGTCCTGCATTTTCTAGTGACCCAACTATAGTTGTTCTCACCTAAATAATTAAATGATGCAATGTAATAATGTTTATTTATAAAATATTTATCAGCATCACCACCATAAAATAACATATTTACCATTTCGCCAGCCATACCATCACCACCTAATGGAAAATTCCTTGCTTGATCAGTAATTTCGATTATTTCATCAGCATTTATTAATTTTTGTTCAATAGATTCACGGATCATTCCATCTATATTACATGATTCATAGAATTTCATGACTATATAATTTAATTGATAATTTGTTAGAACTTATTAAGAAATAGTATTAAACAGTTTATTAAATGGTTATTTACATCCAACCATATATCTTTTCCCCACTGGACCCAAATCATATGGCATGGCTTCATTTTCCTAATAATAATAATGAATAACAAAGTTAATAATATAAACATATTTCTTTATCACATCATTATTATGTTTATTAATAATTACCACAAATTCAATCCAACCACCAGGTTTAGTTATACGTATCAGTTCATCAATTACAAAAGACCATTGATCAATTGTTAGTGACTGTACCATATATTTTTGATGAACAAAATCAAAAGTGTCATCTGGAAATGGTAAACCATCAAGTATATCATGCCTAATTAATGCCAAATTCCCTGGTAATTCTTTCTTAGAATCATTCAAATCAATCACTATATCAATCCCAACAAATGTTGATTTTGGAAATTCTTCTGCCATAAACATTAACCAAGTTGCAGGTCCACATCTGAGAAAACAATTATAATTAATTCATGATTATTAGATTGATGATTTAATTAAAATCAATCAATTTACCCAATGTCTATTACAGTTGCACCACCATTCTTTAATCTTTCTTTCACAGGAGAAGAAAATTTACCATTCCATAAATATTGTGACAAAATTTCTACAGTTTCCATTCTAGACATTGACTATAAAATAATAAAAAGTTTTAGAAAGTTTTAGGAAATTAATAATTAAGTAACTTATAATTTACCTTATCATCAACAGGAAATAATTCACAAAATTCCTCAATATGATCAAATTTTTTATCATCACTGATTTTATAATTATCAAAATTATCAAAACCATCAACCTCTTCTTCTTTGTTATTGTAAAAATTTTTTTTTCCCTTCCTATTATAAAATGGATGCGAAATTTTACGATTTATTGATGGTCTACCAACAAAATGACGATGCAATGACATTGTTTTTAATTTTGGATTTTAAAATTTTTAATTAAATGAATAAATAAAATAAAACGATTTTTTTTTTTTTAAGATTGGATTTTAAAAATTTTAGTTTTTATATTAAGACTGAAACGTCCAATGTCCCGAAATTCGATTTTCGCGTACAAACTGTGCTAATCAAATTTGGGGATTTATATGCAGATTTTTGCAAATCAACTTTTATATAAATGTGATCTTCTCTATTTTTCTAGTCTCGGTGACTGGTCTTTTTAGGAACAAAAACCGGTTAAAGACTGGTTAAATAGTATTTTGAATGTGGATTGCATATTAATGTATGAAAATAATAAATAAACTTTGGAAAATAAATTGCACGCATGGTTTCGTTTGACTTATTATATCTATTAAGCATTATTTTACTATTGGATTTTATTTGAATCCATACAAAATCGTTTTAACTGTTTGTGGTTTCAATCTGTGGGATGAAATTGTTCGACCTGCAATGGGAAATTAATTATAATCTTTGTTTATTTAAAAAAATTGCCTACAATGATGAATAGATGATAAATTCAAGTATTTGAAAAAGAGCTTTGGACCTTTATATTATTATTATTATTATGTAATGAATATAAAAAGCAACAATAACTTTTAGAATGTGTAATTAACGAAAACTTGGCATTGCCGATAAGATGAATAAAAATTTGGCCAAATTTAGAATAGAACTGGTGCACAAGCAATATTTTGTACAAAATTTCTTAGTTCAGACCAACCCAAAATTTCGTTGTGTAACTAGTACAAATCTCAAAAAATTAAAACATTTGATTGGTGTGTAATGTTACACCCGGACATTGAATTTTTTACACTGTGCACTGGGGTGTTACAAATTTCAGTAAACACAAACATAGTTGACCACACATATAAAAAGTCATATATACGGATTTTTCGCC